AATTCAGCTTTCATTTCTGCCCTTAGAGACTCTATGTTGTCATTAATTGAATTCTCCGTTGTAGCTATTGTCTTCACAATTGCTAGCCTGAATTCTATCTCCGACATCTTGGTTATATCTGCATCCATTTGTAAATCTGCGGCATAAGTCATATTTTCTATGACTTCTACATATTTTCTATTTTGGGGGTTCCTCCTCCTTGTCATTCTGTTGATGGGTGGTTGAGGGAATGTATAGAGTCCAAATTATTGACCACAACCTAAGCAAGATGCACCTGTTTTATAGGTACCTTAGGGTTGCTGGCCTCTTGTTTTCCCAGCCTGTCTTCTGGGGGAGGGTCCTGCCATGCTGTTACTCAGGCAACCCTGTTAGGGCAGAGTTGCCCTGCCCCTCTGTGGCTGGGGTTGGGCTCAGTGGGAATCATTTTTTGGGGGCTTTTGTTCTCTGGTGGCTTTCCCTGGCAGCTTTCCGCGTCTCTTCTGAGAGTCAGAGCAGAAGAGACCATTTCCAGCCCTCTGCTCAGAGCAGAGAGATCGCAGTCTGTTCTTCAGTGAGCTCTCCAGGCCACACTGTCTCCGTTTCTGTCCGTGCTGCTATAAACTGCAGCGTCCTGGGTTGTGCACCCCTCCTCTGCGCTCCCAGTCCTGCCTCCAGGTTGGAGCACGTCTCTGCCCTTTGTGCTTCTAAAACTGCCAGCTGCTCCCAGTTCGCACGCGTGCGACCCTACCGCTCCAGGTTTCCGCCCTGGGGGCTGCCCTAAAGTCCTTTCCCCGCCACTACCAGTCTGCGAGTCTGTGCCCCGTCCCCAGTGCGCGAGGCTGTCGCTCACCGGCGGTGTAGGATTCCCCACGGACAGGCTCCCTCCCGCTGCCATTTATCCTCCAATATCTGCCCATGGAATCACGGCTCCCCGCTTTGTCCCTCAAAACCAACCTCCTGCGATATTCTATTTGTAGAGATCCAGATCTTCTTACATCTCAGGCTGATTTCATGGGTGCTCAGAGTGGTCTGGTAGATATCCAGCTCAATTCCGGACCAGTTGAAATAGGGTCCCCTACTCCTCCGTCATCTTTTCTTCTTTATTTGTGCTTTAAAAAGCTTTTCACAGAAAAGAAAAAGAGAAAAGGCAGACATATTTAAATTCCTTATATTTACCTACACACTTAAAAAAATTGTTAGTGTCCTTTGGATTTAAGTTATCTTCTGGTACTATTTTGTCAGAGAGATTTTCTTTTGTATATTTTGTAAATTAGTTCTGCTAGCAAATATTTTTGTTTATCCGCAAATGCTTTTATTTTGCCATGTTTAAAGGAGTTTCACTGGATATAGAATTCTTGGTTGACAGGTTGCTTTCTTTTAGTATTTTGAATATGTCATTCCAGTGTTTCCTGGCCTCAGAGTTTTTGAGTGTGTTGAAACTCAGCTGGCAGTACTATGCTTCTCCTATGCATGATGTGTCATTTTTTTTTCTTACTGCTTTTAAGTTTTTTCTCTCCATTTCTCAGCAGTTTGATTTTGATGTGGCTAGTTATCCAGGTATCCTGCCTGTACTTTATGGAGTTTCTTGGATATGTAAATTAACATTTCTCACCAAATCGGATGATTTTAAAGACATTTTTCTTTTCTTTCTTCTTTTTTCTTTTTTTTTTCCTTTTTCTCTCCCCTGTTTCTACCACTCCAGTTACACATATACTGGATGGAATGCCTATTATTACACCACAGATCTCTGAATTTTTGTTTATTTTTTTATAATCCTTTTTTCTTTTTGTTCTTTGGGTTAGTTAATTTTTAGTGATATCTTCAAATTTACTGATTCTGATCTTGCTTTCTGCTTTCTCAAATCTAATAAGCCCATCTGGTGAAATTTTAATTTTAACCTTAGACTTTCCATTTGGTTCATTTATGTTTTAACTTACACAAAATTAATGTTGTTTTTTTTAAGATTTTATTTATTTGCGAGAGAGAGAATGAGAGACAGCATGAGAGGGAGGAGGGTCAGAGGGAGAAGCAGACTCCCTGCTGAGCAGGGAGCCCAATGCAGGACTCGATCCCGGGACTCCAGGATCATGACCTGAGCCGAAGGCAGTCGCTTAACCAACTGAGCCACCCAGGCGCCCCTTACTTACACAAAATTAATGTTAAGCATAGAGTAAGTTAACTACTACCACAATCATGATACAAAAAAGTTCTAATACTCAAGATTTCCTTTTTCTGTCTCCATATAGTCAAACTAGTTCCTTTATATACTTTTTTCTCTTTTAAAATTACATATTTATGCACTCATTGCCTAGCAGTCTTTTCCTTTGAGTTAATATGTTTATAATAGCTTCTTTGGGAATCTTTGTTTACAAAATACAGCATTTGTACCCACGTAGAGCTACTTTCTATTAACTGATTTTATTCCTTAGTTTAGGTCACAGTTTTCTGTTTTTTTATATGTCTAGTAATTTTTGGTTGAAAATTCTACATTATAGATGATATGTTGTAGTCTGGATTCTTCTGATCTTCCAAGCGTTTCTTTTCTGTCTTAGAGGCATTTAATTTGCTTGGGCTTATACTGTGACATCTATCTCTCCCATAGAGTGTCATTGCTGATGTCTCTGGTTTTTGTTTGTTTGTTTAAGTCTGGCTCTCTAAGAGACTCTCCTTCACCTGGATAAAGTAGAGGTGAGCTAGTGATTTGGACAGAGGTTGTAGTAGACATCAGAAGCCAGTGTGGCTTTCACTCTTTGCTGCCTGAGTCGTGTATGTGTCAGAACACTTTAAAAGTATAGCAAATTTGCAAGACTCTCCAAACTTTCAATCACTGCTAGGCTCTCTAGGATATCTTTGCACAAATATTTTAGTGGTGAGGTGGGAGTATAGGGAGAGTTTATCATCTCAACCTTTCTATGACTCTTTTGCTTCCAAATTCCCATTAAGTTTCTAGCTGCTTTACTAACAGCATTAAGTTGTATCCTGTGGATTAGTGTTTTAATGCCCATAACTAGGGGTGGGAGATGGGAAAATCTTAGGAAAGAATGCCACAAGCTCCCCATTCTTACCTAATGAAGTAGAAGTTTTGGGTGAGTAAGCATTTTTCAGCTTATTACCTCCCATTGGTAGTTTTTCAGTGCCCTAAATTAGTTTTTGCTTTTTAATCATTTTATTTTTGTACTTGTTTTTTGGGGAGGAGAATTCTTCAACTACCTCATGCCACCACTGTTGGAAGTAAAGTCCATCTTTAGGTACTCATGTGATAAATTTACACGTTTCAAATGGCCCGTTGCCCTCCCAGTTCTCTGTCTCCTGGACCATCATGTATCATCCATTTGTTTTTAACCTCTTTTGTCCTCTACTAAATCTTTTTATCTGTTTGATTTTTTTTTATTCTTTCAGAGAGGGAGACTAGACTTGAAAATCCTCAATTGGACATACTTGAAGGTGTTTCCTTCCATAAGGAGATATTGGAAGGTGTAACAAGAGATCATTCATTGTACTCCATTTTTAAGGTATGGCAGGATGATGACCAGCTGGAGAGAGATCAGGAAAATGAAGACAGACTTCTCAGGCAAGTCATGGCCATCAAAAACAAAACAGTTGTTGAAGAATCAGGCTATTCATATAAGGCATTAGGAAAAATGTTTCATGACTACACAGACCTAGATGCTTCAGGACAAGGACGGTATACACGTGACTCATTTGAAAAGAGCTTGGAACCGAATATAAACTTATTCAGTTGTTACAGGGGTTATGCAAGAAGAAACACTGGTGAGCATTTTAGATGTGGGAGTACACTTATTTCTTCCTATTCTAAGCATGAAAAAATTCATAATGGAGTGAAACACTGTGAAGATAGTCACTGTGGAAAGATTATCAGCAATAAACAATCTCTTATTCAATATGTGAATGTTGAAAGTGGAGAGAAGACCTGTTTGTGCATTGAATGTGGAAAATCTTTTCTAAAAAAGTCACAACTCATAATACATCAAAGAATTCATACTGGAGAGAAACCATATGATTGTGGTGCATGTGGGAAAGCCTTCAGTGAGAAGTCACATCTCATTGTACATCAGAGAACTCATACTGGGGAAAAACCTTATGAATGTTCTGAATGTGGAAAAGCTTTCTCTCAGAAATCATCCCTCATTATACATCAGAGAGTACATTCTGGGGAAAAACCGTATGAATGTAATGACTGTGGGAAAGCCTTCTCCCAGAAATCACCCCTCATTATACATCAGAGAATTCACACTGGAGAGAAACCTTATGAATGTAATCAGTGTGGGAAGGCCTTTTCCCAGAAGTCACAGCTGATTATACATCATAGAGCTCATACTGGAGAGAAGCCATATGAATGTACTGAATGTGGGAAAGCCTTCTGTGAGAAGTCCCACCTCATTATCCATAAAAGAATTCACACTGGGGAGAAACCGTACAAATGTGCTCAATGCGAGGAAGCCTTCAGCAGGAAGACAGAACTCATTACACATCAGTTAATTCATACTGGGGAGAAACCTTATGAATGTACTGAATGTGGGAAGACCTTCTCCCGGAAGTCACAGCTCATCATACATCAGAGAACGCATACTGGAGAGAAACCCTATAAATGCAGTGAATGCGGAAAAGCCTTCTGTCAGCAGTCACATCTCATTGGACATCAGAGAATTCACACAGGAGAAAAACCTTATGTATGCAGTGAATGTGGGAAAGCCTTCTCTCAGAAGTCCCACCTCCCAGGGCATCAGCGCATTCATACAGGAGAGAAACCTTACATATGTGCTGAATGTGGAAAGGCCTTTTCCCAGAAGTCAGACCTTGTTGTACATCAGAGAATTCATACTGGGGAGAAACCCTACCAATGTACTGTATGTGGGAAAGCATTCATTCAAAAGTCACAACTCACTGTACACCAGAGAATTCATGCAGTGGTAAAATCATAAGAATGGACTAAGCACAGAAAAGTCTTCAGTATCTGCTCAAGCCTTAATAAGTAACACAAAACCCATGAATTTCAATGAGTTTGGGGGCATCTTTACTGATAAAATTTTACAAGTGAAATAAACTTCCTAACGTATGTAATTTTTTATCAGATAATACAGACATCTCAGTTATATAAATAATGGGCATTTTCACTATGGCATGTAAAACTTTTGAGATTGTGAACTGAATAATTAATATAACAAGTTACATATATATAGTTTATTTTGAAGTTATGTATTTATGATTATGTTACATAGAAAGAATTGGACATGTGATAATATTGTTATTGTTAACTTAGCATAATTATAGCTGTGCAGTAATTCCCTGTAGAGGACATGAAGAAAGCTTGAGTCAAAAGATGCCATGACCTAGAAACGGTGCCTGGGGGAAGGATTTGATTGTTACTCCTAAGGGTATCTGTAAAATTATTCTTGTAGATAGATGGAAAGATGGGTTGATGAGGTCCAATAAATGGGGTATCTTTGTTTGTTTTATTTCAAGAATATAAGTTGATCTGTGTCAGTGGATGGACCCAGGATCTTGGAATTGACACTTCTTGCTATTTTCTTTCTTTTACTCCTCCCCTTTAGGAACTTGGTGTGATGAAAAGACATAGATGGCCATGGGTTTTAATGCTTATTCCAGTACTCACCGATTGTGTAACTTGTGTAACTCACCGATTGTGTAGCCTTTTTTCATCCACAGTATCTGTTCCCTGATCTATATATAAAATTCTGGCAGAGACATGTTTTTAGCTCATATTTGTCCCCTTTATCTTCCCTTTCTGTTCTTTTGAAGGAGGTTGCTAATACCCAGGTGTACACCTTTAAACTTGATTTGCATTCCAGACACTGTGTTTCTGATTCTCCTGATTTCCTTTTCTGTCTTTTTTCCATTAACACTGCCTTGTGTCTAGTGGCCTAATTCATACGTTATGGAGACCTCACTTTTTATTTTGCAAATACATGTACGTTATGGTGCTTGCACATAAAGACCGTGTATGATACCATCACAGATCCTGTTTTACCCTTTCCCAAAAGCACCAGTTCTTTTTCCTGAGAATTGAGTGGCCCTCAGAGAAAAATCCATAGGGAATGTGGAAGACATGCCTGGGATAGCCTACATGGGCAGGTATGAATCCCACCTGTTATCTCTAAAATGTTTCTATATTCTTCGTTGTGGGCCCAAGTCTTCTCCGTAAGAATCTTAAGGAAAGCATCTTGATGGGGAGAAGTCATACGTAGCAGGGATATAGTGACCTGTGTGGCTAAATATGGTTTCTGCCAGAAAGTTCCTACTTGATTCCTTCATATGTCCTGCTTAGCTGACCATTTCTCTGCAGGGCCCCAGTGTTTACTCTGAGAAGTAAGACTCTGTATGGGAACCTCTGCAGAGGACATAGCATACCTCATAAAGATATGCAAATGTGTGTGAGAAAATTCTTTGTGTCATTGTAAACAGTTATTGATACTGGCTATAATTGGCCATTTGGATCCGGGAAATAAAACCTTCAGGCATGTACCATGGAGTGATCTGCTTTGAGAGGTCTTGATGGAAATTGGCCCTACCTGGCCCTTACGGAAGGCAGCTATGCTAACCACTATACCACCAACGCCTACCTGGCCCTTATGGAAGCATGGGAAAATCAGGGTCTCAGGAACATATAGAAATGTGAGAAGGAAATGATAATATAGTAACACTTACAGAAATATGTAAGGAAAATAAAGACTCAAGAGTTCTTATCTTCTCATGGGCCTTCCATTTTGCCTTTTTACCTTCCAGGAAACCTCACTGATCTGATCATGACATAATATGTACTATATATTACCATAAAATATAGCAAAATTTAATACTTATTGGTGTATAGAAAATTATCCCTCTAAAGTCTGGAAAAAAGATAATGCCCATTCTCACCAGTTTTATTCAACATTGCATTGAAAGACCTAGTCAGGAAAATCAGGCAAGAAAAAATTGGTGTAATTGATTAGAAAGCAATAAAACATTATTTATTGATAACATTATATGCATAGAAGATGAAAATGTATAGGTTAATTATTAGAAATAGAAAGTAGCAATGTTTCTGTATATAAAGTTTTTAAAAATAAAGTTTATGCAATAGATATAAAATGAAAATTTAAAGGCATCAGTTACAGTGGCATGAAAAATACATCATGTCTAGAAAACGTGTATTTCCAGTACTATGTTGAATAGAAGTGGCAAGAATGGACATCCTTGCATTGTTCCTGATATTAGAGGAAAAGCTTTCTTCACCACTGATTATGATGTTAGCTCTGAGCATGCCATATGTTGCCTTCATTATGTGGAAGAATATTCTTTCTGTGACTAATTTATTGAGAATTTTTATCATGAAAGGATGTTGAATTTTTGACAAATAATTTTTCTGCAAAATGTTAAGATGATTTTTTTATCCTTTATTCTGTTAATGTGGTGATTACCTCTATCAATTTGTATATGTTAAAACATCCTTGCATCCCAGGTATAAATCACATGATCATGGTGTATGACCCTTTAAATGTGCTGTTGAATTCTGTGTGCTTATGTTTTGTTGAGAATTTTGCATTTATATTCATCAAAAATGTTGGGCTTTTCTTGTAGTGCCCTTATCTGGCTTTCGTGTCAGAGTAATGCTGGCCTTGTAAAATGAGTTTGGGAGTGTTCCCTTCTTCAGTTTTTTTGATGAGTTTAAGTAGGATTGTTGTTAATTCTTTAAATATTTGGTGGAATTCACCAGTGAAACTATCTGGTCCTGGGCTTTTCTTTGTTGAGATGTTTTTGATTACTGATTCAGTCTCTTACTCATTATTGGTCTGTTAAGATTTTCTATGAATGGTTCAGTCTCATATGTTGTATGTTTCTAGGAATTTACTTCTTGGTTATGCAATTTGTTGGCATAATTGTTCTAAGTGACATTATGCTCTGTAGTATTTCTGTGTTATCAGTTGTCTCCTCTTTCATTTCTAATTGTACTTGAGTCTTCTCTCCTTTTTTCTTAGTGTGACTAATGGTGTGTTAATTTTGCTTTTCAGAAAACCAGCTTTTAGTTTTGTTGATCTTTTCTATTGTTTCTCTGCTCTCTATTTCATTTGTTTCTGCTCTGACTCCATTATTTCCTTTCTTCTGCTAATTTTTGGCTTAATCTTTTCTTCTTTTTCTATGTCTTTGAGGTGTAAAGTTGGTTGTTTGAGATCTTTGCTTCTTAATGTAGGTATTTATCACTATAAACTGCCTGCTTAGAACTGCTTTTGCTACATCCAATAGGTTTTAGTAAATTGTGTTTCCATTTTCATTTGCTTCAAGATATTTGTAAAATATCTTGGTTCAGGTATGTGTTAAATTTCCACATATTTGTGAGTTTCCAGTTTTCTTTGTTATTTTCTAGTTTCATACCATTGTGGTCAGAAAACATACTTGGTATGTTTATTCAGAGTCCCTTGAGATTACATATGAATTTTAGAATGGATTTTTCTATTTCTGCAAAAAAAAAAAAATGCCATTGGGTGGGATTTTGATAAAAATTTTGTTGTGTCTGTAGATCACATTGGGTGATATTTACATCTTAAATGTATTAAGTTTTCCAATCTGTGAATATGTGGTTTCTTTCAATTCGTGTGTTTTGTTTCTTTCAGCTGTGTTTGTAATTTTCCAGTGTACAAGTCTTGTCTCCTTTGTTAAGTTTATTCCTGTGTATTTTATTCTTTTTGATGCTGTTGTAATTGGAATTATTAATTTCTGTATTAGATTCTTCCATGTTAGTGTATAGGAACGAAGCAGATTTTAGTGTGTTGATTTTGTATCCTGTGGCCTTACTGAATTCATTTATCAGATCTTTTGTTTTGTGGAATCTTTAGAGTTTCTGTATATAAGATATCATCTGAGAACAGCTAATTTTTCTTTTCTGTTTTGGATGACTTTTGTGTCTTTTTCTTGCCTAATGGCTTTGGCTATGACTTTCAGTGCTGTGTTGAATATAAGTGGCAAAAGCAGGCATTCTTGTCTTGTTTCTGATCTTAGAGATAAAGTTTCATTATTTTACCATTGAGTATGTTAACTCTGGGCTTTTTATGTATGGCCCTTATTTTCTTTCGATTTGTACTTTTTGAATGTTTTATTTAATCATGAAAGTGTGTTGAATTTTGTCAAGTGCTTTTTCTGAACCAGTTGAGGTGATCCTGTGGTTTTCATTCATTCTATTCATGTACCATATTACATTGATTTTCATATGTTGAACCATCCTTGCATTCCAGGAATAAATCCCACTTGTTCATGGTGTATAATCCTTTTAATGTGTGTTGAATTCTGTTTGCTGTTATTTTATTGAAAATTTTTATATTCATACTCATCAGGAATATTGGTCTGTAGTTTTTTTCTCTGTGGTATCTTAGTCTGGCTCTGATAGCAGAAAAATGCTCCGAGAATTAGTTTGGAAGTATACCTTCCTCTTCAGTTTTTTTAGAAGATTTTGCAGAAGAGTGTGTTTATTTTCCTTTAAATATTTGGTAGAATTCATTAGTGAGGCATCAGGTCCTGATTTTATTTGATGGGAGTTATTTTATTCGTTTTAGTTTTATTTGTATGTGTCAAAATACATTTTATTTCCAAAATAGTTTTTGCAACTATTTTCATGCAGAAACTGGGTCTGCTCAGTACTATCAGTAGAATCAATGATAGCATGGTAGCTGTTCAGTTTTAGGTATACAAAGAATACATAATCTAAATAGAAAATGCTGAAATACTAGAAACATGCATTTAATTATTCAATTATTTGTATATGTTACATCCACATAAGACCCGGAAATACTCTATATTCAGATGAACTATTCATACAGTTTAAGTATAATAAAAAGCAAACTCCCCACAACTATCTTTGTATCTTTAAAAACCAAGACTCTGAGCTGGTTTAATAGAATACCATATGTCTTCTTAAAACTAACTGAGAAAGGGGGCACTTAAACTACTGACTTATAATACTCTGGTTTCAAAATAATCTAAAATGGGCAATAGAACACAATGACCTGTTAAAGGGGCACACAGAAACAAACTCAGGCTTATATGGTCAATTAACCTTTGATAAAGGAGCCAGGAATATACAATGGGGAAAAGACAGTCTTCAATAAATGGTGTTGGGAAACCTGGGCAACAATATGCAGAAGAATGAAACAGGACCCCTCTCTTAAACTATACACAAAAATACACTCTAAGTGGGTTAAAGACTTAAATATGAGACCTTAAACCATAAAACTTCTCAAAGAAAACATAGGCAATAGTCTCTTGGACATCAGCCTTAGCAACATTTTCCTAGATCTATCTCCTCAGGCAAAGGAAATAATAAAAATAAACTATTAGGACTACAGCAAAATAAAACATTTGCACAGGAAAGGAAACCCATCAGCAAAGCAAAAAAGGAAACACACTACACAGAAGAGGATACTTGCAAACAATATATCTGATAAGGGGTTAATATCCAAAATATATAAAGAACTTCTACAACTTAACACCAAAAATAATAATACATGATTAAAATGGGCAGAGGACCTGAATAGACATTTTTCCAAATAAGACATCCAGATGGCCAACAGACACATGAAAAGATGTTCACCATCACTAATCATCAGGGAAATGCAAATCAAAACCACAATGAGAGATCACCTCACACCAGTCAGAATGGCTAGTGTTAAAAAGACAGTAAATAGGGCGCCTGGGTGGCTCAGCTGTTAAGCGTCTGCCTTCGGCTCAGGTCATGATCCCAGGATCCTGGGATCGAGTCCCGCATCGGGCTCCCTGCTCGGCGGGGGGCCTGCTTCTCCCTCTCCCACTCCCCCTGCTTGTGTTCCTGCTCTCTCTGTCTCTGTCAAATAAATAAATAAAATCTTTAAAAAAAAAAAAAAAAGACAGTAAATAAAAGATAAATTATAAGTGTTGATGAGGATGTGCAGAAAAGGGAACCCTCATGCACTGTTGGTGAGAATGTAAATTGATACAATCACTGTGGAAAACAGTATGGAGGTTCCTCAAAAAATTAGCAATACCATGTGATGTCATAATTCTATTACTGGGTACTCAAAGAAAAACACTAACTCAAAAAGATATATGCACCCTTATCTTTATTGCAGCATTATTTATAATAATCAAGATATGGAAGCAACCTAAGTGTCTATTGATAAATGAATGGATAAAGATGTTACAAATATATTTATATATGGAATGGAATATTATTCAGCCATAAAAACGTGAGATCTTGCCATTTGTTACAGTATGGATGGACCTAGAGAATATTATGCTAAGTGAAATAAGTCAGAGAATGACAAATACCATATGATTTCACCTATATGTGGAATCTAAAAAACAGATTAAGCAAAATAGAAGCAGAATCATAAATACAGAGAACAAACTGGTGGTTGCCAGAGTGAGGGGGTTAGGAGGAAGGGTGAAATAGATGAAGGAGATTAAGAGGTACAAATTTCCAGTTATAAAGTAAGTCACAAGGATGAAAAGTACAGCATAAGGGATATAGTCAGTAATATTGTAATAACATGGTGACATATGGTTAACTACACTTACTGTGGTGAGCACAGTATAATATATAGAATTGTCAAATCACTATGTTGTACCCCTGAAACTAATGTAACATTGTATGTCTACTATACTTCAATAAAAAAATTCTTAAAAAAATAAAATGAAGGGTGCTTGGGTGGCTCAGTAAGCTAAGCATCCAACTCTTGATTTTGGCTTAGGCTGTGATCTCAGGGTCATGGGATCAAGCCCCGCATTGGGCTCCATGCTCAGCATGGAGTCTGCTTGGGATTCTTTCTCTCCCTCTCCCCCTTCCCTCACTCACGCTCGCTCTCTCTCTAAATGAATAAATAAAATCTTTAAAATAAAATGAAGGAACACACACACATTTAATATGTACAATCAGTAATACAGTTAGCTACTATAAACTTTACAGTGTACGGTTTATTCAAATGGCTAAACTGTTTAGTGGTTAAGGAAACAGTTATTTGTTAGATATTTTTTTCCCATGGCTTAATGAGAATAGAAAAGCTATTTTTCCAAATAAAAAACTATCTTCATTATGAACTTGGTTTTCCTCTTAAAAAATTTTTATTTATTTATTCATTCATTTATTTATTTATTTATTTAGAGTGCAAGTGGGGGAGGGGCAGAGGGAGAGAGAAAGAATCTCAAGCAGTCTCCTTGCTGAGCATGGAGCCCAGTGCGGGGCTCCATCCCTCAACCCTGAGATCATGACCTGAGCCGAAATCGAGAGGGACACTTAACCAACTGAACCATACAAGTAACCCAGGTTTTGCTCTTTTTTTTTTTAAAAGAAAAGGCCACTGAAATGTATAAAGTAGTCGGAACATGTTGGCAGTATCAAAATTAATGTCTCTTTACATGGCAATGACATGCATTTAACAATAACTCACAGGTTAAGTCTGCAAATGCTGTCATAGCATTACTTTGGCTAGCACAGGGTTTTACACAGTAGTCAGATAAATTTAGGTATGTGATGTGTAAAGAGTTACGTTATGCAACCTTAATCGGGGTCGAACACTAAGAAATAAAAAATGAAAAGAAAAGTAAAAGCACTTTAAAGTAGAAAAATGAGGGCACCTGGGTGGCTCAGTCGGTTAAGTGTCTGCCTTCAGCTCAGGGTCCTGGGATGGAGCCCTGCATCAGGCTCCCT